CAACGGAAGATATATACCCATCAGATTCATTCGACGAAACTAGGAATAACCTCGACTCAGAAACCAATAAATTCGGTGTAACCCTAACAACCTTATGTAAAATATTCAATATACATATTTTAAATGGTCGATTCCCTGGAGATCAGGATGGTATGTTAACCTGTCAAACACACAATGGGCTCAGTGTTGTAGACTATATGATTGCCTATTTACACATATCAGTGATTTTTGTGTCTTAAGATATAGATGAATCAGACCATATGCCTATACAGTGTTGTATAAAAGCCTTCTCGTCACATGATATACCTAACGATCACCCCGAACCATTATCAAACCACCAAAAATACATCTGGAACGCTGAACAATGAGACTCGTTTATCAAATATTTATGTGAAACTACTAAAAATTATAAAAACAAATTATTAAATAATTTTCGTCCAAAATTGACCTAGAGCTTTATAAACCATCAAGATTGTCATTTAAAGCAGTGTGTGAAAACCAAAGAAACTATATTGTAATAAAGTCAGATCTGATTTAACTAATAAACTAGAGTCTCCGGTTGATTTCTGGAATAATGTAAAATCACTTTTGAATGATAAATGTATGACCGCAAATATAAATGCTGGTGAATGGTTTTCCCACTTTAAGAGTCTTTTAGATCCCAGTGGTAATCCCAATACAGAATCAATTGACCACGATGAACTTTGTGATGTATGTGAACAAAATGAACCCGAACAATTGAAATCCTATATTACAGAACATAGAATTACGAAATGTGTCCGTGAAATCTGGTAAAGCGCCAGGAATTTGTGGAATAACATTAGAATTGATCAAGGAATCTAGTCAGTTAATAATACCAGTATTTGGCGATCTCTTTAACCTTATTTTTGATAATGGTGTTTTCCCCACTGAGTGGTGTAAAGCCTTAATTTGCCCCGTGCACAAAAAGGGATCCCGAAAAACTGTCTCAAACTATAGGGGCATCTACCTCTTATCTGTTATAAGTAAAATATTCACTAAGGTGTTAAATAATAGGTTAACTATATGGTGTGATCAAAATCAACTACTGCACGAATCCTAAGCAGGTTTTAGACATGGCTATTCAACTGCGGATAACATATTTTCATTACAAGGTATTATTAGCAAGTATCTGTCTAAAAAGGGTGGCAGAATATACTGTTTGTTTTTGTAGATTTTGCTACAGCATTTTATTCAATAACTCACGCTAACCTTTGGAATACTCTGATTAAAGATGGGGTCCATTGCAAATTTATCAAAGTTATTCGAAACATGTATTATAAATCTAAATCATGTGCATTGACACCCTATGGTATAAGCGATTTGTTCGAATGAACCAGGGGTATGAGACAGGGGTGTATGCTGTACATAAATCAGTTTGACGAATTGCACATGACGACTGCAAGGGTATATATATCAGAAGAATTTCCTAATCTTATGTTTGCAGATGATATTGCAAACTTATCTGATGCAAAGTTTAGGTTGCAACAACAAATCGTCTGGCCCTGCTCAAACGATAATTGAAGATCCTTTGTCAGTTGGTCTCTTTCTTTGTATGGATTCATCATGCTTGTCGACAGGGGGAACACAATATTTACGTTCAGTATTACTTTTCAAATTCATCAATACTGGAATTGGGTAGAAACCCACCCAGTTTTGTAACTGATACCACACTTTAAACACCATCCGGGAGGAGATTAGATTTCATTTTTGCTTTAAGTCAAGTCTATTTAATTCAGCCATCTAATTAATCCTTTATTAAATAGTGAAAGGTATGTGTGTCTCTTTTTATTATGGTTAACTGTCAAGGGTTTTACCAATTTTAGCAAGAATGGGTGTAAAAGGGATATTTAAACTTGTAATTTAGTACCGTATATTAAGTATAAGCCCATGTAAACGCCATAAACTACGTTCGTGTGTGTTACTTCTATGCAAGAAGCATTCCTAGTTTCGTATGGGTCCCGAAAATCACTGGATTCATTATGAATACTTACATGGTTAAAATTTCATCTCCCATTTTTTCTCTCTGGTCAATCTTCCAAAACCACCATAACAATCTGCCAATTTTTGATCCTCTACTTTGAGGATAGCGTCGTCGCCACAAATTGGTCTAAAAAAGAAGTAACATTTAATAAACTGAATGACAATTCTGTTAATACAAATTCTAGACCAAGGTAACACCATAATCTTGCTTATCTAATCTTTGGTTTTCGTTAGCAATTAAGAATATTTAAAGAGCTGCCAGTGGCCACAATATGCGCTCTGATTTTCTGTGCATTAGATTTTTCAGTGTAAGAACCTGCTAATGCTGGTGGTATATGTATTGTCGTTCAATACGGTTGTATTTACCCAGAATACCTTGAAGATTCGATTGCTTAAAGATGAGTTTCCTCATTTTTTTTAGTGTCAAATTAAGCAAACTATTTGATTAATTGGTATTTCTAATGAATCGTCATGTTTTCTTAATCATATCATTATTTATTGGAATTTAAACCAATCATAAAACATGTACATGTATGTACAGTCTGGATAAACAAAATAAGACTTTGACCTTTCTTGATCGGTCACTAATTGGAATTCTGCTGGTAATTTTCTTGTAATTTAGCTAATTATGGATTAATGTTGGACATGTGAGAAACACCTTCAGTAAGTGCAGAGGACGAAATATATCTGAGTGGAGATAAAGAGGACGATGGTAAAAGTGAAATTGAATTTTCTCTAACCTGTACCAAAAAGATAAAACCAAAGTCGAAACGACTAAGCTGGAACCAAGCCGAAAGCACAAAAATTAAAATATATTCTGATGAATATTTATAATCTGGAACAACACCACGATTTACGGAAATTGATTAGGCAAAAGCAGAAAGTTAAAAAAAATAAATTGACAAATATATCGCAGAGCAAACCACTTAATCGTTAAGAAAATTTCAAACATGAATCATTCAAAATGAAATATTACATGTTTGTAACATTCTTCAGAGGGAGTTCGATTGTCAACAGCGTATGCTTATAATTAATTAGGATCCCGCATAATACAGATGTTCTTGTTAGTAGTAAAATCTCTTGTCAGCATCCTGGACTTCACAACCCTTTCACTACAAATTGAATTACTATCAATTAATAACCATGGCATGAAAGTGTATATATCATCTTCTTCTAGTGAGGGTGCTTACAGGCGTGAGATAGTTGTTTATCCTTCCAAAAATGGATGTTGGCAGTGTGATAAAGGTGATTCCCACTTCTTTTTAAGAGCATGTACATTGCCTTGACATGACTGCACACCACCAGAAGTGGTTACTTATGGACTGTAACCATTCAAGGAGAGGGGCAAGGGTTGTTTTCTTGCCACATGCCGTTCAATTTTTTTTTTACAATACTTTTGCAAAAATGCCATAGGTCAAATTGGTGTGTAATCTCAGGGTAGTCAACCCGAATAATTTTTCGAATAGTTTTGTGTCGTCTGTGGTGAGGATGTTGACGTCAATATTCCATTTCTTCATATTAGACAAACACTGTATTAGCCCCATAGGTTCCATGGCATTGGAATTTTTCACCCGGGGATCAGCCTTGTTGGAGAACAGCAAAATCAACTAAATATCCTAAATCCACATCCATGAGAGTGTACGTCCCATACTTTGCACAGTGGCCCGGACTGTTACAACGGCCATCACCAGATAGAACAACCTTGTCCTCCCTGCTCAACCCAATCACAACACCTAACTGACCTGACATCCATGTTTCATTTATTACTGGGAAAAGATAACGCTTCTGCAGGGCGTAGAACTGGCTCTGACAAAGGATTGGTAATTTCAGATATGCAGAAATATCTTGAAGTCTGGCATAGGTATTAACAAGGTGGCTACAAACAAAAGCAGGTTATCAACTCTCACTCTTTCTAAAGTAGGTTATGATGACCAAGTGTATTTTCAACCAGCAGTACATTTTGTGCTCACTATCAGCCTAGGCCCTACCACCGTCCTTTTAAACTCTAAAACCTCTGCCGCACATCCTGTTTTCTGGCATTTCCTAAACAAATTTACATCACAGGATTCAAACACAAGGAATTTGTCTTTCATCTGCAGCATTTTCTGGTACACTGAAAGATTCAATGTCCTCAAAATCAGTGGCAAGTGGTTGCTCATCTGATGGGTCTTGATCATATTCACTGTCCGACTCACTTTCAGTGTCAGGAACAAAATCTAAGTCATTGGCATCTTCTATATCTAAACTTTGATCAATCATAGTAATCTCGGCCTCATCTTCGTATTCGATCTCTGGTGGGATAATTGGGGGGCATAGGCTACCAGGATTGGAGATCTGAAAAGAGAAATTGGGTGAAATGAGTAAGATAGCTTGCCAGGCAAAGTAATATACTGAAAGCTTTGTTGGAAAGAAAACATTTAGCAGAAAAAAAGTTTATATATCATAGCATTGTTTTAATTAACGAAATTCTCTCTTGAAAGATTGTTATTTCATTAGAATTTCAAGAATCGTACCTTAAGTGTTTATGACCTTAAATTCAAATAGGTTACGAAGGACAAGGGCTATAACTCAAATATTAATACTTTTGGATTCTCAATAGGGTTCAAACTAAAAATGGAACGGGTTTTGAAGAACAAGGGCTACAACACATACTAAATATTTTAAGATTTTTTTCAGTACGGTTGCGCCATGGGTGATAATAAATGATTTCAGCAGGTTTTTTCAAAATACCTTGTAGATTGTTTACAGCTAAAAGTCAAACGTGTTTTGAAGAGCAAGGGCAATAATTTATATTAAATATTTTTGAGTCGTTTGATTTTCTTTGGGAGATAATAAATCATTTCTATAAGTTTGGTCCAAATCAGTGAAGAATTGTGCCCTGTAGAGTGTTTACGAGCAATTGCCAATTGTGGATAGACCCACAGACCAACGAACATGGGTGACAACATATACGTTCCACAATTGTAATGGCAGACAAGTAGTTTGAGAGGTTGACACGAACGATCATTAATCGAGAACTGTGCTTTCTGGAAGTTAAAAATTGAATGAGTTTTAAAGAACACGGGCAAAAACTTTATTTTTTGATATCCTTGGGTTATAATATATAATTTCATCAAGTTTCTTACAAATCTGTTCAGAATAGTGATTTAAAGAGTGTTTACTAGCTAAATATTGAAGGCATTTTCAAAAACATGGTCAATAATTTTCAATTATCCCTGGGCAATAATAAACAATCCCTGGACAAAAATAAACAATTTCACTAAGTTTCGTCTATGAAGTAGGAAATGAATAATGGGATAGTTTCGTATGTTGGCAGACTAAAAATTCCCCTTGCCAAGGCAACTCATTTCATATGACATAACCACGTGTTTAAAGTGATACCAACAAAAAAAGTTCTCAAACTTGGTCAATAAGAGTATATATTCATTAATGGTGTCTGTCTACAGTATACAAACAGAATCAATTAAACCATAAAACTAAGTAATTTTTCATAAAAGTAATATTATATTTAATATTTTGTGTATCTTGTAGTAGCTATAACTTATAAGGTAGTTTTCTGGATTTATCAGATTATGCAGTATAGTTACGACACCAGACAAGTTACCTAATGATTATAAACTCTTATTCACCGAGTTTAAGAATTTTTCTTTTTAGTTCATTCCAAGAGGAAGTATTCCTTTAATAACCTCTGTTAAGTGGACATATAAACAATGTGAATAGAATTAAACGTATTAATTTTTGCACCTGTTTGGGCAAACACCATGTAGTGCGCAATGAGGGAAATCTTGCCAGGATAGCAGCATTAACCTGCTCTTATTATTTATTTTTAACAGCATGCAGCAAATAGACCTTGGTTTAAGAGACTAAACACTTTTTCAATGTCAGCCCCTAACCTGCATTACCGACGCGAGACCAGGTTGATAAATCTGTAGTTATTATCTCGACCCAGAATTTTGAATTAATTAGATAAGAAATTATCGGTTGAGTATTTGGACTCTTTACTGTGTAAGGCATCTGTAAGTAAAAATAATTGTCTTTGATAAAAACTATTAAAGGGATTGTAAAAAGGTCTAAATTTTGTGTGTGTATCAGGGACACTGATAGCGTCAATTTACATCATTCCAATGTTCAATCACACGTCTGTAGCAATTCTACTAAAACTAAGTGTTTTATTACGTACCCCCACAAAGGTCTTGATACCATAATACTCTCCTTCAGACCTTTCTTCACAACTAAATTAATAAAATCCGGGTAATTGTCGAGTTTGAAGAACAACATTCGTGTTCATAAAGTGACATCAACAATCCGTTATCACAGATATAATCCTGCTCACTCTTTACCTTGAGCCTGATGTCGTCATGAATCTTTCGAATGATAGTTTGACGAAAAGTCTTACGACTTGACACATACTATCTAGGTTCTGAGACACGAAGAAGGTGACGGAATAACTCCGATTCAACTGTAATAAAAGGCAGTTTCTTTTACAATGCACTCCAATGATAAACAGCTGGTCGTGCTCAGATTGCGAAAAAAATGGTCCATCGTAGGTTGCGCGAGACCAGGAAAGTCCTAAGGGCGTGTTTCAGAATATTTATCCAGGTGGATTTTAAGGTTGGTAGTATTACCCGTATATTTGATTGTACACAAACACTCACGACGAACATCAGGACTTCCATCAACCTTTCCGTCGTCTTAATAAAATACACAATGAGAAAAAGCCAAGCTCTTGGCATTACCAGGGAACGCGACAATTTTAGTCTTCGATGATACTTCTGCCTATTTTAAATTTTACTATTTTTAGTGGTTTTCCGATATTCGACTGTTCTTAAATTTTATAGTCTCAGACAGCAAGCCTTAATGGGTGTGAAAAATAAAGTGAAAGTAATGCCCGAATATCGGTTCCTGTATTCAGTTAAAATTATAAGCCCTTTAGTGCCTGGGACGTTTTTTTTTTCGATTTTTCTCTCCAAAACTTTTTTATGAACAGTTCTAAGAGTAAATTAACCAAATCTATCATGTGCAACCAGTCATTTTACATCTCTGGGCAAATTTTGAGTCCGATTGCATTGGCCAATGATTATGTCGGTCAAGGCGTGTGGAATTGGGATTGTCTCTCATAGAATGAGAAACCCTGGGATGTAGGTTCACAGGTGCGACATCTTCAAACAAATCAACCTCAAAAACACACCTCAGTATCTGGAAGTAAACCAAATATAGCAATCACTGGATTTTAGGACATACAAACTCATGAAAAAGAGACGAAATACATCAAAATATTTAGGGACAACACATATTCTTGACAGTCTGTTGGCAACATTCGTGTATCTTACAAAAATGACATGATTTTACCATAATTGCCTCAAAGTTTGCAATAAAAGTAAGTATTATTGTCATCCATGTACTCTATGATTTATGTGGCAAACACACTATGTGTCAAAGTGCGAAAAAACTATTGCAGGAAAAAATATCAGTTGAATGAAAATGAGAAATACTCACCCCGGTTTCAGCATAATGGGGGCTGCCATCTTGAATTGTCTAAACTGCCACCTATTCAAGTTTCAATGTACTAAATGTGCACAAAACTGTCCTTCAGGCTATCTAGGGGTATTTTTGGGATATGACCATAATTTGTTTTAATTATTGGTACACTTATGTTGCCAAGAGGCACTAATGTTTGTACTAATTAATTTATTATAAATGAGAAAACATTATGGAAGGTAAATTTTTATTAATGCTTATTATGATCGAATGTTTTCTCACAAATATGTCTGGTTTTGACTGATCTGAGTTTTTCTTTTATCACTTCTTTGTCGCCATTTTATGGTGGTTTCTGTGATATCATTTTTATCTGTTTTTGCATCGTCGTATGTTTATCTACATCTTTATTGTTTCAGTTTTGATTTAGACTTGTCATATGGTTTTTTGCGTTCAGGTGCAATTTATTTCAGTTTTCCTTCTTCAGGATATAAAAAAAAGTGTGAAATATGATTAGTTCTACCTCGGGTAGTTTGTCAAGAAACGTTTGCATAGATTGCTGTACCTTAGTGGTGTCTTTTTCGTTGGTATCCCGCCATTTTCTGTTGCAGCTTCAACAGTATTACACCAGTGGTCAAATCTTTAAGGAGTGAAACAATTATCTTTGTAAACAGGTTTGTGTCCTTCACTTGTCATCAAATGGTAAAACAACTGGGTTCGCGATTTTTCCATTTCCGTTTCAACAAGACCCTCAACAAATACCTTTCTACTCTTCCAGTCTAATTTTGTCTGCACATTTATCATTCATACCAGTACAAAACGTATTATTTGTCTTTGAACATTGTGTAGAAGAACATAATATGTAAGGTTTTGTTTTGGTACAACCACGACGTTCATTGTAATCATTTTTAGTTGATGTCGGATTTAACTTATTGCAGATTAAAGTTCACAGATCTCTGTCTGGGCAACCTAATAGAAAAAGAAATAGAATTATAAAATACAAAAGAAAACCAAATTTTAGAAGCCCAAAAAGGTATCATTATCAAGGTCATTTCTATTTTCTCAGTAACAATTTATTCATTACTCTTCCCACAAGATTAGAGGGTGGAAACTATAAGGGCTTAGTCCGGACCACTCTATATAGAAAAAGCATCATTAGCCCCATATTTATGGAAGGCCAAACAGCCCAAGACGTTTTAATCCTTAATCCTTAGTCCGTAATGCTTAATTTATATTCCTTTATTTCCTGGTCCTTTTTGACATTTGTTTTGTCGCAGCTACTAATCGCCCCAATCTGGGGTGGTAAAATGGGACTCGATACGGATTCGGGTCGAAGGATGGAATAGTGAAAAATACAACTTATATACATTTATTACCCATCTAGATCAACTACACAGTGCGTTTTACCAGTTATATCAATTAGCCATCAACCATACAGGTTCAAAAAGACTTAGATTATGATTACTAACATTACAAAAATAGCCCAGTTTGTGGAATATGGCCACCGTAATTAACCACCGTACCTCAGCCATCTCACATGTGGGTACTGGGCGCTTGTAGCCAATGTACGCTTTATACTATTAGGTATTCATGTCACCTGATAGATTTATTGAAACCAACCACAAAACAATTGATTACCCCATGTGATAAACAACCTCGTTTCACTATACAACCAAATTCTTTCCTACTCAACAGCCAACAAATAATTACAATTAATTAGTACTTACACCAACCCTTTTTTGTATACTTACAAATTATATATCAAAACCACGACATTGGTTAAAACACCTATCAAAACTAAAATCAAGAAGCTAACTTAATTACACCATTTAATAAAATATATAAACCAAATATACCAGAAATAATTTATTCCTATTAGCTATATAACCAATAACCGTCACGTTGTAACAAAGTATTACACAGGGACCAAACTCCTGTGTTAAAGATATCAAAACACACCCTGTCACAGTTTCACAAAATGATCATTAGTCCATAAAGATCAATATTCGTTCCCTAAATCAATCTTCAAAAACAGATAACACCCAAAAAATGTTGCTTAACATTTCACCAAATACATTTCTCGAATATCAAACAGTGATATATTTTCTTCATAACTGTGTGCAAGCGATGCTAACCGTTGTTGACTTATATGATACTGACTATAGATTCTGATAGTGACGTAATCTAGAGCTTCGGTAAAATAAAGCCCTTTGCGATTGTAAATATTGTTTTCCCTTCCTATGAGATTTTGTTTTAATTTTTATACGCCGACATGATGTGAGGTAGTATACTGGTGTTATCCATGTCCGTCCGTGAACAATTGCTCCTAAACAATCTAGAAGGTTCAATTCTTGACTGGTTTTGACGAAACATATTGTGAGTGTTTATGGTTTTGATGAACCATATTAAAAAACAGTAGAACCGAAAAATAAATAGTAGAGCTATTGCCCTTGTTCCTGAAAACACGTTCAATATTTAGCTCGTAAACATTCTAGAAGGCACAATTCTGACAGATGTTGACGAAACTTGATGTGAGTATTTGTAATCGCACAGGAATGAGCCTGATCGAAAATCAGAAAAATATTTAGTATGAGTTATTGAACTTGTTCTTAAAAACGCGTTCAATTTTTAGTTAGTAAAGACCTTAGAAGACAAAGTTCTAAACAGATTTTGATGAAACTTGGTGTGAGAGTTCGTTATCACCCAAAGATGATCCATATTGAAAATCAGAAAACTCGCAAAATTCTTAATTTGAGGCCCTTGATCTTGCAAATGCGTTCAATTTATTCAAATTCCGCCCATATCTAACCGATTCCCATTTCGTTCATTGCGCTATCTTTTATTTGTCTCTTTACCTAGAGAAAATTTATGGCACAATTTAATTAAAAGTAACGTTAACGGCAAAATATTTGATTTGATTTAAATGTTCAGACACAGAAAGTTATGTTTAGAATAGCGATGATGTTTCAAGTTATTTCTCATGTCTGTCCATTCCTTTTTACAATCTATTTTTCGATGAAAACGATGTGAAATGCCTTGAAGGTATTGGTATTTTATTTTATATAAAATCATTTCTGTTACTTTACGACATTATAATTTTATCTTAATCTGAAGAAAATCACTAGAAGTGTTCAGCAAATATTGCTCAAATTAGAAACTGACAGTTAATCTAGACAAAACTTTAGATTGTAATGTTTTCGAGAGGTAAAGTGAAAACTATACCAGAGTTCTATTTTAGCACATTGTGACACATTGTGTTGTAGAATCTGACACATATTTAGGTTTATTGTTCAATTATGTGTAAATTCACTATAGCCAGAAAACAACATAGACTAAATAGGAAAACTCACTTCCAATAGATTTACTATTTAAATTATTTGATACTTAAGTCTTGTCGATTTCTACTGTATGGATGTGAAATTTGGGGCTATGAGAATTGCCCAGATTTAGAACAAATTCACACTCAATACTCTAAACGGATTATAAATAGAAACACAACGCCAAATCATATGATCTATGGAGAAACAGGCAGATTTCCTATCTATCCAACAACGTATGATTCTATTTTAGTCCGTGCTTGCCTCTCCAAACTCGGCAAGTCTCTCCAAAAGAGACATTATCGCATAAAATATATAGCCTGATATTAGTTACATTATCAGGTCGAAAACAATTCAGATATATAGAATTTATGAAAAAAATACTTGATCAAAACGGATTCTCTTATATATGATCTAACCAATCGATATCATCTCTGAATACAAAATTTATTAAATATTCTATCAAACACAAAACTCAGGATCAATTTATTAAAATATATTTATGTAAATTTAGAATCACCAATATAAAATTACCTATTGAAATCGGAAGATGGATAAACATCCCGAGAGATGACAGAATATTTCCACTATGTTTTAATCAAATAGGCGATGAACACTGCAATCTTTTTTTATGTCAACATCCGTCAATATTATTTTTTCAGAATTAAATGCATTCCTAAATATTATATAACATATCTGTCAAAATATAAAATAAAAAAACTTATTTAGCTATAATAATATACGAGTTTTATCAAATATGAAGGTATTCTTTTATCATATCGAAAAGACAATATTAAAAATAAAATAATTTAGCAATACCAATCTCTTCAAATTGAAATGTAAATATATATAATATATTTTATTGTTTAACAAATCGAATTATTTAACATTATATAATACATATGCAACCTGTATTATTACTTGTAGTTTGGCTGTAGAAAATCTTTTTCTGGCTGTCATCAAGAGTCAAATATCTTTGTAAACTTATAGACAATCAGACTACCGTACCGGAGATTGTATACGGAAAAAGTGTCCCCGTTTTCTCGCAATTAGTACTTTTTACATAGAAATATCATAATTATCATAGGCCTGTACATCCTTGTCTTCTATAAAAACTAATTTTACTTTTCTTTGCTAAATTTTTATGTTTTTTGACATCGTTTTCCACACCATCATAATAAATAACATGTCAAATACTAAGAAGGCTGCTATTATAGCCAGTGCGGACGGTTTAACACCTGTCATTAAAATTTATTATGTCGGCTAAATATATTAATATTTTGTAATTCCACCATTTTATTTGGTAAATCATTGGAAATGATCTTAAAAATAATTTGTCTCTTGTGGTTAATAATATATATTAATATATTAATTACAGTATTAAAGAAAAAAATAAATAAACAGAAAATAAAAAATAAACATGAGAAATATAATATGATATGACCGACCAAATAATAGATCGGGTACTTTAGGGACCAGAATAATCCTTGGTGAAATGGAGGTATTATCTATTATAAAGCCCTATACACTAAGGACGCGATCTCTGATAAAATAATTGGGGATTACCTTAATTAATTAAATCGTCATCCTCTACCGTCAAAACAGACAGATTCACTTGTACTTGTTCGTGATCAACAAACAACTGAAATCAGCTTTACACAAATATTAACTTAAGAGAAAGTAAAACGATCAATATATGTACATTTATCGAGAGTTAAAATGCCATAGTAGTTAGATTATGCTTAGCAAGTTTTTTCTTTAAACGCAAAGCAGTTGAAATTTATGGTCTTGTCATCCTGAATCAATTGTTTCGTGTCGTCAGGTCAAACTAGAGGAACATGTTGTCGATATTGTGGAAGTGTATGATTATGTTGGTCATTGGTGAATCTTTACAGATGACCTCAAGAACTTACAATTCTTACTCAAAGGACCAATACTTATCAGGATATTATGATTTTCGAGTGGTATCTGGACTGATACGATGTGTACAATCTTGTTTTGTCGATGGCGTATGTTTTGGTGTTGCGTATCATAAAGAGCGACAGATCTGCTATGTTTATAATCAGTTTCCACATTCACCAATAGTAGACGTTGATATGATTACTTTATTACCCGAAGGTAACGTTAGGAATTAAAAATAATTTACATCTTTTCTGCTGAAACTAGAACTAGCCCGATTCCCAAATACCTAATCAATAGCCGCGTTTAGACAGCCACAAATTATCTGGGCCGAGTCCAGACCCGGTCCGAACCCAGTACGGTTTTGCAGAAAAAAGTGGCAGTGTGAACAGGTTGAGAGGGCTAATTTCAAGTGGGTTGAGTACCGCAAGAAGAGGTGGTAGCGATTACGACACGGGCTAAATAACAGTGCAATGTAAACTTTGACGTAATAGAATACATCGTGTTTGCAATGGCTTGCGTCGGCCATATTCACGTAAACATAAAATTTTATTTCTTTGTATCTCAAAATCAAAATTAGAACGTGACAAATATAATCACGAATTCAAAATAATCGCCTTGTTTATTGTTGGCGGCATTTTGAATGTCCGCGTTTTTTTTCGCCTTCACTGACTTGAGAGCAGGTGTATAGTTGATGACCATTCTAGCTCAGTAAAAACAATGCAATGTAGAGATCAGCCGAGCCGAGTCTAGACCAAGCACGGCTTTCTTCAAGCGGGCCAATTTTTATGGCAGTGTAAACGCGGCTTTTGCTACTAAGACCATCATTGAAATATTCAGATAAAAAGTTAAAATATGGTGATTTTAGTCCAAGCATATTAAAACTGTACAGCCTGTGGTACGATAAATGAATTCTCTGTCACGGTTCGACCGACGTCAAATGAAATTTTCTCTAAAAGACATCTGGAATGAGCGCTTCTATGGAAATACATGCGATGATGTTCAAATCAGAGTATTATAAATATTCCATGAGAGATCTGAAAATTATTGAATGGAGAAAATTGAAATGTTTTTATTCTGTGTCAAGTGTTGTAAATCTAACAAGTTCATAAGTAATGGTTGAATATTATTATTTTTAAGAGATCGTCTGATTTTATACGCCAACATGAATTGTGGATATTGGCGTCATCTATGTCTGTCGGTCCGTCCACAATTGCTCGTAAACACTCTGCAAGACGAAATTCTTGACGGATTTTGACGAAACTTGGTTTGAGCGTTTGTTATCACCCAAGAATGAACTCTATCGAAATAAAAATAATCGAAAAATTTTATATGAGTTATTGCATTCGTTGTTGGAAAAATATTCAATATTTCGCTTGTAGACACTCTAGAAGGCACCATTTCTCGACGGATTTTGACGCAACTTGGTGAAATTGTTAATAATTCTAAGTAAATAAATTATATCATTTGGAAGAAAATAGAAAAGTAGGACCTTTGTTTAATTTTTTTTTGAATACAATAAAAACACAAAATAAAAAAAACGTAGAAAAATTGTATTCTGATTTGAATTAAATTGGGAGAATGTATAAAGCTGATCAATGATAAAACGATCATAATAAGATGGAGTCATGTTAATCCATTAGAGGCTACAATTTTCACCTTGGTTCAATAAATAAGTATTGTAGGGCATTACATACAGACCAAACCGTAGAAAAATTTGAATTGTTTCTAGTGATGAAATACATGCCTGAAATTGTTGACTGAATTTTTCAGCTATCTTGTATCATGTACAAGTAAAAACAGGAGATGTATCTGCAGCAGGAACAGATGCTACAGTTACTCTGACGATATATGGTAGTCGCGGAGACACAGGTTCTGTAGAGCTAATGAATGATGATTCTGGTCCAGTTGGTCCGTTTGAAAGGAACTTCAATGATAATTTTACCTTTATAGCTCCGGTTATTGATCAGGTAAGGAAATTAGATAATCGTGGAAATAAGGGCTGAACATAAAGTACGTTCAACAAAATTTGCCATTTCTTTATATCTTATCTTAATACCTTCGGATTTTTTAGCCCTGTTTCCCCCTGTCAGTGATGCAGGTAAGAGGGACTGACACGGAAAAAAGCATCTAGTCATTCGGATGGGACAATAAACCAAGGCCCCGTGTGCTACAGATTGACACTGTTCTGGCAAAATGTCCCTCATTGCACCCAGCATGCCGTTGTCCGCCTTCATTAGCCCACATGGTGCAGAAAAGTAGGACGTAAAACTCCATTCATTTCATTTTTATCTTATCTTTTCTTGGTGCATAGAATATAGCCCGGTATTTATACCGCTGTGAGTGTATTTGGATGTCAATGCAGGTCATTTCATTGCCACTCGAATTATAAGACGTGAATAAACAGAATACTAACTAACGTAAATCATCAAAGCATTACAAATTTATGGATACTATTTAAATCTATCTGGCTCATTTTCACTGCTTATATTTAACATTAAAATTCTATACATTTTATTATTGATTATTGTTTCACCTTGTTTATTCAAAGTTCTGGTTGAATGACCGTGTCTATATAATGATAGTATTAGTACCAAGTCGACTTTCTGATTTAAGATTGAAAGAATTAAGATAGGACATGACAATACTGGGACAGGTCCTGGATGGTTCTTAGATAAAGTTACTATTAATATACCATCTGAAGGTCGACGTTATGAGTTTGTGTGTAATCGATGGTTAGCTACAGATGAAGATGATGGACTGACTGTAGGAGAATTTCAGCTGTCTTATTCAGAAGGTAATTATTTGCACTGGAAACTGTATTGTTTGTATTGATATTTAGATATTTTGATTTTTATTAAAAGAAAATCCGGAAATTTCAGGAAACAAACAGAAATTACAGCCATCAAATCATCATCTTTTAAAAATATTCATGCAATAATTTTGTCATTACCACTGTAGCCCACTGTCTTTGCAAGTACATTGGTATATCGCATTTTACCGATGATTTCTATATCATCCTAAAATATATATATCTACTGTAGGCCTAGTCAATAGTTATTTACAGTTTCTTCCAAATTGTCTTGTTGTAGATACTGAGAACAGAACTGTGTCTACATAACTATTGACAGTCTCTTCCAAATTGTCTTGTTATAGATACTGAGAACAGAACTGTGTCAAACATAACTATTGACAGTCTCTTTCAAATTGTCTTGTTATAGATACTGAGAACAGAACTGTGTCAAACATAACTATTGACAGTCTCTTTCAAATTGTCTTGTTATAGATACTGAGAACAGGACTGTGTCAAACATAACTATTGACAGTCTCTTCCAAATTGTCTTGTTATAGATACTGAGAACAGGACTGTGTCAAACATAACTATTGACAGTCTCTTCCAAATTGTCTTGTTATAGATACTGAGAACAGAACTGTTTCAAACATAACTATTGACAGTCTCTTCCAAATTGTCTTGTTATAGATACTGAGAACAGAACTGTTTCAAACATAACTATTGACAGTCTCTTCCAAATTGTCTTGTTATAGATACTGAGAACAGAACTATGTCAAACATAACTATTGACAGTCTCTTCCAAATTGTCTTGTTGTAGATACTGAGAACAGAACTATGTCAAACATAACTATTGACAGTCTCTTCCAAATTGTCTTGTTGTAGATACTGAGAACAGAACTATGTCAAACATAACTATTGACAGTCTTTTCCAAATTGTCTTGTTAAAGATACTGAGAACAGGACTGTTTCAAACATAACTATTGACAGATAACTATTGACAGTTTCTTCCAAATTGTCTTGTTGTAGATACTGAGAACAGATCTGTGTCAAACATAACTATTTACAGTTTCTTCCAAATTGTCTTGTTGTAGATACTGAGAACAGAACTGTGTCTACATAACTATTGACAGTCTCTTCCAAATTGTCTTGTTATAGATACTGAGAACAGAACTGTGTCAAACATAACTATTGACAGTCTCTTTCAAATTGTCTTGTTATAGATACTGAGAACAGGACTGTTTCAAACATAACTATTGACAGTTTCTTCCAAATTGTCTTGTTATAGATACTGAGAACAGAACTGTGTCAAACATAACTATTGACAGTCTCTTCCAAATTGTCTTGTTATAGATACTGAGAACAGAACTGTGTCAAACATAACTATTGACAGTCTCTTCCAAATTGTCTTGTTATAGATACTGAGGACAGAACTGTTTCAAACATAACTATTGACAGTCTCTTCCAAATTGTCTTGTTATAGATACTGAGAACAGAACTGTATCAAACATAACTATTGACAGTCTCTTCCAAATTGTCTTGTTATAGATACTGAGAACAGAACTGTGTCAAACATAACTATTGACAGTCTCTTCCAAATTGTCTTGTTATAGATACCTCGACGACCATTCAATAGACGATCTCACCCTAATCCCAATTGAGCGTATAGAAATTGACTTGCCCGAAGATGAAACTACCAAATTCCGTCAATCTAGGGAGGCCCATTGGATTGAGACATTGAATACAGCAAGACCTATAGGACTAAATATTAATCATAATGTAGGCATAACAACCTTTGTTGTCCCGTTTAATACAACCAGCAATCGAGCAAGCAAGATAGTTCATGCCCACTATAAGAACCTTCAAGAGAAATTCCCCCATGTCTATAAGCAGAAATTGATAGTTGCATATTCAAAAAATAAGAACTTAAATGATAATATTGTTCATAGTAAACTAAAAACAATCAGTACATAACAGATACTATACTTCTCGCCCATCGGGCGAGTTATTTTTTCTAATTTCAGATCAGTATAAGAACAGAAGAAAACCCAATATCAAGACCCTTAATCCTAATTTCTAAATAAAGTGTACATTTGGGAGAATCAAACCCTCCCTTCCCCGAAAACTATAATAATAAAATGTTTTAAATACATACATACAACATACTGAGAGTCTTATCCAACTATAATAATAAAATGTTTTAAATACATAAAGACCACCACGGAATGTATTTTACAGGCTCACTACATTTACCGGCGGCAAATTGTTAATTTGACAACGAACTAAATTTAGATCGTAAGATGAAAACTAATTCTCTGTTTATTTTATATTTTAGAATTGTAGTAAAGTGATATGAAATATAATCAACTCAAAGACGATGAAGCTTTCCACATAGAAAGTAATTTACATTAGAAAGCGCTGAATATTATAATTATTGAGAGGGAATTGCTTTTTAAACGCCCACATGGAAATGTGGACGTATATTGCCGTCGCCCCTTTCCTTCGATCCGTCCGTCCGTTCACATTTCTTGTAGGCGCGATAGAGGCTACAGTTTTTATCCAATCTGAATGAAACTTGGTATGCATGTATATATTGATGAGATCTCGGTCAAGTTTGAATTTGGTCATAATCGGATGATTGGTTTAAGAGTTATTGCCCTTGACTTAGTAAAAACGTTTCAAATTTTGCTTATAGCCATGATAAAGTGTGCAGTTTTTATCTGATCTCAATGAAACTTGGTATGCATGTATATATTAATGAGATCTCAAGTTCAAAATGGTAATTATTGGACGAATGGTTTTGGAGTGGCCTTTGAATTAATTCAGTGCGTCTAATTTGGCTTGGAGGCCTGATAGAGACTACATTTTTTATTCGTTTTTTGATGAAGTTGGCATGAGACGTGAGTAAAGCTTGAAATTAAAAACAATTGGATATTATATTAAACCACTACAGAATTTATCATTTCTGACAGCTGGTAGTGAGCGTATGTTACCTTGCCTGGCAAGCTATATTATATTGTTGATGTAGGTTTTTTGTTAAAGGTAATATAAATTAATAAAAGTTGTATATTATAATTATTGAGAGGGAATTGATATTATATTGTTGATGTAGGTTTATGTTAAAGGTAATATAAATTAATAAAAGTTGTATATTATAATTATTAAGAGGGAATTGATATTATATTGTGATGTAGGTTTATGTTAAAGGTAATATAAATTAATAAAAGTTGTATATTATAATTGTTGAGAGGGAATTGATATTATATTGTTGATATAGGTTAATATTAAAGTTAATATAAACTAGAACTGTTCTAATAACAGTACTGATGCAGGGCGGGTTACGACATTCAGGTACACACGAAGATGGTCTATTGCAATTACTTTATGTAAATACCTTTCTGCATCTCTAAATGCAAATATCCAAAAGTGCCT